GAACAAATATTCCATAGACGAGTTCGAACGGAAACTACTTGCTGATCGTGCTCGCCTGAATGATCTATCCAAGACCTACAACGTGCAGGTATCCGAGATTGAGCAATGGATCCAGGCGGAGGGCGAGCGTCTGCAGCGTGAGGGACAACTGCACATGGAGACTCAGCTGAACAACTGGCAGAAGATTGAACGACAGCGTCTGCTCGATCTGATCAACAAGAATGATTTGTCCATTGAGGAGCTGGAGACTAAGATTGGCAAGGATCAGACGCATCTGTACAGCCTGGCCCAGCAGAACCAGGTGCGCGTCGAGGAGATCGAACAATGGATTAAACAGCAAATCCAGAAACTTCAGAGCGAGGGTCTCATCGAGATGCAGCGCCTGAAGAATTGGCAACTGGAATGGCGCGGCAATCTGACCAACATGGTGCAGGAGCGTGACTACACTGTGGAGGAGTTCCACAAATGGCTGCTCGAGGATCGGGCGCGCCTGCAAAGTCTGGCCATGCAGCACAATGTGCAGATCGAGGAAATCGAACAGTTTGTCAAGAAGGAGGAGCAACGCTTCATTGGCATGGGCCTGCTTAAGCCCAGCGAGAAGCTGACCAACTGGCAAGAAGTCGAGCGTCTTCATCTGAAGAACCTGGCCCAGCAGCAGTACAAGTCCACGGAACAGCTCGAGGCGCGTTTGCGTCAAGATCGCGAACTGCTGGAGAAACTGGCGCGTCAGTACAGCGTACAGGTGGAGGAGATCGAAAGCTGGATGAAACAGGAGCTGGCACGCATGCGCGACGAGGGCAAGCTGCAGATTGACAATCTAACCGCCTGGCAGCTGGCCGAACGCGAGCGCCTGGAGACGCTGATCAAGCAGAACAAGCAATGGAGCGCCGAGGATCTGCAAGCTGAGCTGCGCAACGATCGTGAGCACATGCAAACCATGGCCTTCCAGTATCACACCTCTGTCGAGGAAATCGAACGCTGGGTGCAATCCGAGATTGAGCGCCTCAAGCAGCAGGGCAAGCTCAACATTGAGCAGCTGACAGCCTGGCAGCGGGCCGAGCAGCAGCGCATTCTGTCCCTGCTCCAGTCACAGTCCAACATTACCATGGAACAGTTTGAGTCCAAGGTGCGTATACGCAATATTTTATTTGTAAGCGAAGCAAGCTAAGAATTCCTTCTAAATCTAAATAGTCTATTAGTTGATCAGATTTAAATTAATCTTTGAGTCATTGAATTTAATTTACTTTATGATATGAAAATAGGCAAATCGGGAGAAACGAAGTCATTTAACACATTTGTTGGTTCTATTTTTAAATTATTGAAATTAAAATTGGGGGAGCATAATTTTCTTGATGCTATTTTCAAACCAAAGATGATAAAAATTCGGAACATAAATGCATTTTAATTGTGTGCTGTTAAAAATAAAACAAAACGAAACGTTGACTTGGGGCGGAAATTGCCAAGACGCTTTGTGCATGAAACTTAAATGAATATAATTACGATTTCTCTCTCTCTGCTTATCACAGGTACAAAACGATCGACACTTCCTGCTCAAGTTGGCAGATCAGCATCATGTGAGCCTTATGGAAATTGAAGCGTACATCAAGCAGGTTATTGAGGACTTGCAGAAAAAGGGACAATTCGAGATTGAACAGCTGCAGACGTGGCAGCTGGTGGAACGTGATTACATTAAGTCCCTGATTGCCGAATATAAGAATGGCCTGTCCACGGCGGAGTACGAGCAAAAGCTGCTGGCCGATCGTGCACATCTCAATCAGCTGGCGGATCAGTATCGTCTGAATGTGGAACAGATTGAGGAATGGATGATATCGGAGCTGAAACGTCTCAGAGGCAATACAGAGACATCACTGAAGACGCTCAGCGCCTGGCAAGTATCGGAGCTGGAGCGTCTGCAGAATCTCCTCAAGGAGCAAACGCACATCAGCTATGTGGAGTTCGAATTGGAGCTGCAAAAGGAGCGCGAACGCTTGCAAAAGCTGGGCAATCAGTACTCGGTCAATGTGGAGGAGATTGAGCAGTGGCTGCGACAACAGCTGATCAATCTGAAGACCACGGGCAATGCTAAGGTGGAGAACTTGAGCAAATGGCAGATCGCCGAACAGGAGCGTCTCATTGAGTTACTGCTGAAGCATCAGCAGGATTTGAACTATGAGGATGTGGAGCGCGAGCTGCGCAAGGATCACGATCGCCTGGAAAGCCTCTCGCAAACGAATCATGTGAGCATTGAACAAGTCGACAATTGGCTGCACGACGAATTGCGCCGTCTGCAGAGCTCGGGTCTTGTGCAATTCGAGCAGCAAACCCAATGGCAGAAGCAGATTAGCAACGGCTTCAACAATTGGCTCAAGCAGCAGCAGGATTCGACCACCTATCAGGAGTTCTTGGACTTCCTGAAGCGCGACAAGTCACGCCTTAATGGCATTGCCAATGACTATCATCTGACTGTGGAGCAGGTGGAGCAGTGGGTGCAAAAGGAGACGGCGAGACTCTCGCTGATTGGTGTCATTGAGAAGCCGCAGGATAATTTTCGCTACGAGGAGATTGTGAACATTTCGGATCAGCAAAGCGAATCGCAGCCGTGGAAGGAATATTTGGCCGCACGCCTGCGCAGCGAAACCCATCTGAAGCCCATGTCCTGGCAGGAGTTCCAGCTGTATTTGGTACGCAATCAGCCCAGCTATGAGCGGCTGGCACAGCAATATCACATTACCGTCGAGGATATCCATCTGTGGCTGCAGGAATCGGCCAGGCAGCTGGCCAACGAGGGTCTCATCACGGGCTCGCTGACTGTCGAGGAATGGCAGCTGAAGGAGCAGCAGTATATACAGGATCTGATCAATCAACAGCTGCGCCGGCGCCAAAAGTGGAGCATCGAGGAGCTGCAATTGAAGCTATTTAATGACCAGAAGCATTTGCTGGACGTGGTGCGTCAGTATCAAATAACCATTGAGGAGCTAAAGCTTTGGTACAAGAACGAACTGAAACGTCTGTTAGATTTGCGTAAAATTGAGCGAGGCTTCGGCTTGCCGTGGCAAACGAAGGAATTGGAACGCATTTACCAGACCGTCGTGCGTCATCCCATCAATCGCAATGCATTGGAGCAGCTGTTGCTGCGCGATGTTTCCATACTGGCACCGCAGTACCGTGTGACAGTCGAGGAGCTGCGCGTCTTTATTAAAGAGAAGCTGCAGCGTCTGGCTGACATGGGCCTCATTGTCGACAGCCAAGTTGTGGGCAGCGACTGGAAGGAGCAGGAGCGTCAGCGTTTGCGCCAAATTGGCTCCAGTGTAATCATAACCGATCAGGAGCTGTTGGAGCTCATCTCACTGGACAACAACTATCAGAATGAGCTGGCGCGTCTCTATGGTGTGGGCCTGCATCAGCTGGCGCCCGTGCAGCGCATACATGTGGGCAACATGGCCAAGGAGCAGCTGCTCGAGCAGCGTCGCCTCAATGTGCTCACCTCCTGGCAGCAAAAGGAGCGGGACCGTCTCTACGACTTCATTGGCACACAGAACATGACACTGCGCCAGTTGCGCGACTGGCAGCGTCAGGACGAGGAGAAGCTGCAAAGATTTGCTCAGCAATACTTGATATCTTTGCACGAACTCAAGGCCTGGCAGCTCAAGGAATTCGAACGCATCGCGGCCGTGGCTCGCTACTATGGCATGACTTTGACCGAACTGCAGCAGTTCCGCGACGACGAGCTGCATTATCTGACCTATTTGAATCACCGCAAGCTGTTGGCAGAGTCCGAGGCACAGAGCTGGGAGAACAAGCAGCACTGGCGCCTGCAGAAGCTCCAGAGCAAGTACAGCAAGTACGGCCAGGAGCTAAGCATTTGGCGTCGCACTCTATATCTGCTAAGTCAGGGACTGATCGATCTGCCCGCCGGCAATGGTGGCTATGTGATCGATCAGGGCACCACCAATTCCACGGCAGTGCAGAAGCCAGTTTTCTCCAAGGATCGCGGTGACCAGCCACCGCATGTCTATGAGGACTCATATAACGAGGACGATGAGCCCGGTTTGGAGGGTGAAACCAAGGCGCCTCTGCCATTGCCCATATCTTTAGTGTCCACACCGGCACCGTTGCCCTATCAACGTGGCGGTGCACAAGGCGGCGCCAATGCAGGCTATGAATATCGTCGCACGGATTACACGTTCGATCTGCCCGTTGGCAGCGCCTCGGCTGCAGCCAGCGGCGGACCGAGTGGCTCATCGGCCACGGCCAGCGCCAAATTGGGTAAATGGAGCCGTGCGGCGGGCGAGGAGCCTGCATCCCAGCAGCAAGTCCAGCTCGAGGATCTGGGCCAGCAGCAGCAGGTCGATCTGGGCTGGACGGACGATCAAGTGGATGGCGGACAGCAACAGCAACAGGAGGAAACTGACTGGAATGCCAACTATAAACTGGACGGCAATGCTGGCCAACAGCAGCAGCAATTGCTGGACGATACACAAGATTTGGGACAGCAGCAGGTCGAGGACCTAACTGGCACCGGCTATGGCCACAGCTATGGCTCCAACTACGGTCAGCTGCAGCAGGCGAAGCCAGCTGAAACAACGGTAAGCTAAATTAAATATGGTATTAAACTCTCAAAAATGTTTTTTTTTGACAATTCAAATTTGTTGGGGGTTTTTTCCAATTGGTTTTTTTTAGTTAATGGAAATATTCAAATTATTCCCAAATGTTGTTTAACTTTAATTTAGGATGTTCGAAATTAAGTTTGGGGTTCCTTAATTCGAAATCTATGAGTTTCAGAGATTTTGAACTAGAATCAATGCTGCAACGATATATAAAAATTCTCATCTTCAATTGCAGCCGCTGCCCAGCACGTTCGACAAATTTAAAAATAAGATAACCGGCATTTTCGGTTAGAACTCGATTCTGCCATAAAGACTTAAGTGCATCAAAACCAACCGAAACGAGCCCAAAAAAAAAAAAAAAACAAAAACAAAAACGAATCACAAATGTGGATATACATTTTCTACAAACGTTTCTTTAATCAGTTTAGTTTAGTCTTTAAAGGAAAAGATTTTTGCCGGTGACAGTTGAACCGCAACCACTACTAAATATACATTTACATACATGTGTAATACTCGCTCTATAAGGACGTACCTTTGTATTTTGTTTGCATTTGCCCTAATAAACTTTGAAAATATAATTTTGCATTTAATGTGCACTACTGTACTTTTACGCATAATCATATTCGTCTGATTCATCAACTGCATTAAGCATAAATATCTAAAAACATAACGAACAATTGCCATATAGTAGGTTCTTTGTTTCTCAAAAGGCATTAAAATTTGTGTAGCATAAGGTGCGTGGGTATTTGTTGTTATCAGTGTACAATATAATCATAAATATTGCTGCATTTAGTAAATATATCTATTTGTTGTTAGTAGGCTGCATCAGAGTACAATATAATCATAAATATAGTAAATATATCTCATAACATAATAAAAGAGTGCATTTAACTATGGAATTGCCGCATAGTAAATTCTTTGTATCTCAAATCCTTGTAGCGATATGCTTTTATCAGAGTTAACATAGTTTGCGTATAGGGTATTTCCTGCGCGGGGGGTTGGGAAAAGAAAGTGCATGTTCGCGAGGCACTTTTGTTTGAGATTCTTTCATGTTGTACCAACTCTTGCATAGCACTAATACAAATCTTACAGGTAACTTAATCTTTTTCATAGACATTTCGTATAGGGAGAAGAATAAACTTGTACTCATCATACCCTTGCAGAGAACATGATAACTTAATTGTTGCAAATAGTCGTACAGAGTGTAGTCGATATAGTCGAAATGGAGTTTCATAAATGTTTTTAACACTAATCGTTGTCCGTCAGATCGTATCACGATAGATGCTAATTTTGCCATAGGTAAATCAATTAAATTAGGTTTAGTAAATCTTAGTAGCATCAGACTAAAATAATTTAATATAGTAAGCAAAAGATTTTGCTTTTTCGAAGTACTGCATCGAATAGCTACTATAGATAGTGTAAACAACTAAAATTAGCATTTAGTCTTGTTAATCTTTCATGCATCTGCAAGGGTATTCAATCTTCGGCTGACTGAAGAAACGGTTTCTTTATAGACATTTCATAGACATTTCATAAATGTTTCTTATTGTGAACCTTCCAAACATATAGAAATAATATTTTAAAAATTGTATTCTTTAAAATTCTATTATATGGTGCCCTTTGGAGCAGCCCTCTATATTTTATGTTTAGCTAAACATTCCTCACAGGTCCTTTGTAGGTCTCTTGTACATTATTTATACACGCCTTAAACGCATTATATACACTGTTCCACAAATCAACTAATATGCACCTCCAATTCTGAGCCGTTGGCTACGCCAAAGTGTGACGCACGAAATTGTAAGCCTTCGCTAAGTTCCTCCACAGCCACGCCCACGCCCACGCCAACAGCGCCCATGCTCAGGCCATCGCCAGTCTCCTGCAGGACATGGTGTTTGAGCTGTTCAATTTGATGGAGCAGCTTTAGGGTCTCCTCATCCAAATTGTCGTCCTCCTGGCGCAGTTGCCTTTGCTGCTCCTGCTCCGCATCAGTGTCCCATTCGAGCGATTCGGGCGTAGATATGTGTGACCAGGAGTTCTGCGTCGAGGAGCAGCAGGAGGTGCGCGTAAAAGAGCCGCCATAACGGTGACCGCCCAGTCGCGCCTGACGTGCCGCCGCCGCATGCCGCCCATGGCTGGCGGCCAGCGAGGCTGCCGTCGTCAATTGGTCCAAGGAAGCGTAGCGCGGCTGCGAGGCCACCCTGGTGGGGGTGTCCTGCGGCGGCTGCTGTTCCTTTTGCTGTTGCTGCTGATACTGCCGCAGCTGTGAATACTCGTGCTCCCATTCCAGGTCTAGCGAGGAGCTGGCTCGCGAACTGGACATGCGTGCATAGCTTTGCAGTTCCGTCTCCTTGCTGGACGTCGTTGTGGCATTGAGCAGCTTGTGCACGTCCAGATTTTGCAGCTGTATATCCGTCAGGGCACTAGAAAATGTTGCAGATGGTTTAGAAGGTTTAGAAGGTGAGCCGCTCATCAGCTCACCTGTCGTTCTGCAGCTTCGCATAGCTGGGCTGTTGCTCCCAGTATTTGTCCAGAAATTGTGGGCATTGCTGCTTCCGCTTGTACTTTAGTATGCGATAGACAAGGCCACGTCGCTGGCAGCGCTCACTGGCGGTCGACAGCAGCTCCGCTTCCGGCTCATCTGTAGCTTCAGCTCTGGCTCTCGCCCGGGGACGACGCCTGCAAGGGGAACAATGCAATTTGTTAGGTCTACTCTACACTTCTTTGTTGGGCTATAGTAGGCATTTCTCGGTCAGTTTGTGACATGCACTTAATATGTATGACAATCATGTATATATTCCAATATATATATTGAAAAGGGTATAAAATGCGTGTCACACTGCCGAGTCTAATCATTTGTGTTGTTTATGTAGAGGCATATGGCGAGTGAAGCCCCTTCCGGGCATTGTTTGTGGCAGGCAGCACGCACTCAAGCGTTGCATACTTTTAGGCTGTTGACCCTGCCGCGGGTCGCCGTTGCCAGCGTCCGCAAATGTTGTTTGCCAATGCAATTTAAAGCCAAGACTCTGGCATAAACCGTGTCGTTTAATGACGGATTGCGCACACACGAATCGCGCTAATTACGGCCCCCTGGGGGCGGCAACCCGCCCCCTTTAGGCTTCTATTGATTGCCAAGTCAGCAGCACGTTTATTGGATTTGCCGTGACATAGCATACTTTTGTGTGCCACAAAGTAAACAGAATGCACTTTTAATTAACTGCACTATACACTCTGTGAATGGGTCGAGGGGGGGGGCAGCTTACCAAAGAAGCCAGCTGTTGGCAACGGCCGTAACGCAGCTTGTGGAGCTAACCGAGGAGGAAGACGACGAGGCTGTCGAGTTTGTGGCTGAGCTCGTGGCGGTGGCGGTGGCGGCAACGCAGCTGCTGAGGCATGAACCCATGCTCCAGGGCAGCTGATGCTGCTCCTGCTGCTGTTCCTGCTGGTGCTGCTGCTGCTGCTGCTGCTGCAAGACCGCAAGGTATGCCACAGTTTTTGTTATGTTTTAGCTTTCGCTCCTTGTGACACACCTCAAATTTTACGCTATTGTAGTTTCTTCTAGTTGCGTATGGTTTAATTCACTGGCAGCGGGCGTCATGTTGCACCCACTTTTAACTTTTCAGTTTGTCTGGCTCTTGGGTTTCCCTGCAGGTTGTTGTTATGCGTATTGCACTTGCATTGCTTGAGGTGAGCCTTGACCTTTGTCTGCTTTTCTCTTGCTCCTTTCTTTTTCGGCAACTGTCTGGCCAACGCGTTTTTCAATGCTACTCCACACACACACACACACACACACACACACACACAGAAACAAACAAACACGCACGCACACACACACACAGAGTTGCGCGTAACTGTTTTGACCAAGTGTGGACGTCACTTGGTGACGCACCGCATGTTTCTACTGGCTTCCATTCGTATGTAAACTGAAACCGTCGCGACGCAGCGACAGAAACTTTCTGTTGTAGCCCCAGCTGACGGCTGCGGGGTGTAGCTGAACTTTTGACAATCAGCTGGGCGCGGGCATTCGTTGTTTTTACCGTTTGCTTTTGCATCTGTCAGTTGCTGAAGTCAACAAGGATGTGTCAAGTGCCAAAGCTCTGTTAACTGTCCAGAGTCAATGAGCTTGCAAAGTTAAAAGCTTAGCAGCCGAGCTGTTAAAGCTTCTTCATAGCTTTCGGGGTAATAGTGGTAAATTCTCATGTCTTAACATTGTGGTTGATAACAGTAATGGCCTAACATAACTGCCAGGGGTGAGTAGTTAACATAGCGCTGTTGCTTTAACTTGAATGTGATTTACTCTGTTCGCTTATGTTTGCTTGGGGTAATCAGGTTAGCAGAACAGTGTAAGAGACTTTATCATAACAGGAATGTAAAACCAGCATAACTGTTAACTTATTCACACAAATGTGTAGTACTGGTTCTGGCGGTTCTAACTAGCTAAATGGTTTTTTGTAATGTTTATAAGAAATATACATAAATTTCCACTCATTCCTAATGTGCAGACCCCCTTTTAAGTGCTTGCTTTTTAAAAACTAACATTTTTCACACATGTGAATCATAAAATTTCGACTTGCTATCAACATTTTTATGCATCTAACACGCCCACAAGCATTATGCTTAGGATATGAATCTTTCAAAGTACATTAAGATTTGGTACGCCTTACAACTGCCAACATTTCTTAAAACTAGCAAGTGCATGTAAAACTAGAGACTGAAATGTTAAAGCACTGCAACCGCAATATTTGTTTTAGTTTCGAATGCCATCTGTTAGAAGCCAGACATAAATATATAGAGGAAGTCTGCTTTATAGATCGGATGGTTTATTTAGTCCACATGTAGAAATTTCTTCTTTTGAAAAGTTTGATCGCTTGCATAAAATGTTGCATGTTTGTTTCCATTATTGAAACTTGAAACAACTAAAGTTGTCAGCACATGTGTTATGAATGTGTTTGGTGTCATTAAAACTTTGAATAAATTTCAGATGCATATTTGATCAAACATAAATTGTCTAAAGCGACTTTCTTATTTAAAGATTTCTCACTCATATTTAAATATTTAGCTTAACTTAGCTAATTGCTGTTACTGGCTGCTAACTATTATAGAACTTAGTTAAATTTCCTATTTAAGATTTTAGTTGTATTATGCTTTAGCAATGAAATACACTAGCTATTTGTAACAATTGCTTATTGAAGCTACAGCTAGAAAAATTGCAATTATTATTTATTTTTAAGACCCACAAGTTCACATTTACTGAATAATTTATTTCACATGTATTACTAAATATAACAATTTTTGTTTCTAAAGGGTTCGCAAATCAATTTACTTTTCTCTAAGCTTATTATGACCATAATATTTTCTGATATGTATGTGTGTACGTACATATACATATGTATATATATGATAAGTGAATTGGCTATCAAATGGAATAATATAGCACATAGCACGATGCCATCTGCTTATCCAATCTGATTTTCTAAAACTGTATTGGGACCAAGTACCTTGATGGGCCGCCCCATAACATGACTTTGCCGAACCGACGAAGACCGACGACGGATTTTGTCTGCATTTCGTCTCGTAATGAACGGTACTCGGCTTCGACTTCGGCTTCGGCTTCGGCTGATGCTGCTACTGCTTCTGCTTCTGCTGCTGCTGCTGCTGATGCTGATGCTGTGGGTTCGTTTGTTGCTTCGTTTCAGTGCCAAATCGGCTGTTGTTGTGCGCGGTTGTTCTGTGTTCGACGCTTTTGCTCAGAACGCTTCGCTTCTGTTATTAGAAGCGTGTTTGGTTTGTTGTTGTTTATCTGCAGCGGGCAACGAGAATTGTTATCATAATATTATAATTGCTAGTGCAAGCTGCTGCTTATCAATTAATCATTATGTTATTTTAAGCAATTACTGCATCTATATTTATGCCCATAAATGTGCGTGTGTGTGTGTGTGTGTGTGCCGGCGTCGGCGTGTCTGCCCTCTATCGTCTCTATCGCGTCTGCCTAATTAAGTTCTTGTGCAAATGATGCAAAAAAGATCAGCGACAAACATGAAAATGCGTCGCGTTGTCGTCTCGTTGTTTTATTTATAAATTGACTGCATCTGCCCCGCTGCACCCACCACCCCTTCAACATTGACACGGTGAGTAATTAAGACAAAACAAATACCATCTAAGGCAACTAGATCGAAAGAACTAGCTTTATGGATGCTAATTTTAAAAATAAAACCTAATACTGTTCATGGGTCAAGACTCAACATTAAAAACAAACAAGCAACAAATTTTGTATTTTTAAATAAAATTTTTGATAAAGTTATTCGAAAATCAGAAATTTTAGAGTTACGTTATGTTTAAAAGATGAGATCATAAAATTGTTTAGCTATTCAAAGTTATGAGTTACGGGGAATATATAAGAAATTTTTTAGAAGATGTTTAGGTGATCGTTAAAAATTAAATCAATTTTAGACTTAGCATTTAGAATTTATATGGTTAACATATGCTCATGATTAATTGTACGTCCATATCAAAAGCCATCTCGCTTTGAAGATAAGCCTTTAGGAGAAGATATAAGAGGAGCCAGCATACCTTTCCAAGCCTCGAGCTATTCTATACGATCGAACCAAGTTCTGCCAGCCAGAATATTGGACTAGAGTCCAACTCAGATAGGAAATAGGTTTTTAGATAGAAAAAGAATAGCTGAATATTTGAACAAGAAACAATATCTTTTTTTGGATTGCTGGGGAGTCATCGCAGAGAAAGGACAGCCATCTAGCCAACTTATGTTATGGAAAACAGATGCCATAGCTTTTTTAGTGAATAAAATGACAATCCACATTTACATACAAGAGCGAAGAACTGAAGCGATAGGTTGTTTGAATTACAGTGCGAGCACTGCAAAATGTCCTTAAAACTATGCATGATCCTACTAGATTAACATTTCATAACTCAAAAGAGGCCTAAAAGATTGATGGATAGAGATTTGAGTTTTGAATTTTGCAAAGGATATATTTTTGTTTAGTTTAAGTCCATTTTTAAGATTCCATGATCTTTCATTGACTCAATGCTATTGATGGAAATTAACATAGAACAAAGTAGAATTACTCGTAATTCCGACTGAAAGCAGCTGCCAGCTCGGTCACTCACATGCCCACTAAGAGCACACCACCCCTCCACCCACACACACACACACACACACACACACACACATAGACAACTCCCCCGTTTGCCACAGTGAGTTATTAAACACTTTTGCTGTCTGCTTTGTTTATTAATGCGTGCAGCAGCACCAAAGCGCTGCAAAATGTTGCCTTTTGTGTTTTGGCTTCGTTTTGTTGTTTATGGCACGGCTTCCGTTGCAGCCCCCTGCCCCACCCCCACAATCCCCCTCCACCGCTACCCCTTGGCAATGCTGATGTATTTAACTCGTTGGCAAGTTTTAGTACATCTGCAAAACTCTACGCATGAAAAATCAAGCACTGCATTCCTGAAAACTTAATCCCAACTTCTACCCCAACAAATGTGGCAAATTTAACACTAGACTAGCCAAGGCGTTAAGTGCTCCATTTGCTGAGTGCTATTAAATTGTGTGTGTGTGCGTGTGTGCGTGTGTGTGTGCGTGCATATGTTTTGCAATTGTGGTTTAATGGCAGTTATAATAACTATTATTGCAATCGCATTGCGAAAATGCAGTTATATCGAACGTTAAAAGAAAACTTTGAAAATATTTGCTGAAACGCACAGGAAATTAAATAGACAAATTATTAGTATAGTTGGCAAGCAAAATATTCTCAAATTGATATTATAAATGAGAGGTAATTGAAGGACATGCTTTGCTTTCAGGCTGACACAATTTGATGTAACTATTTAGCTGTGTTTAATGTGGTTTCCCTTCGCTTCAAGGCTAATCAAAAAATCAAATTACAATACAGTGGAAATCAGCATGATTGAGACATGATCTGGCCGGGCAACTACTGTTCGTGTACATCAACGATTTTGCATAATATTCGATTCCTGCTCACAGGACAATAACAACAACTGTTCGTATTTAACATATTTCATGCTCATTAAGTGTCACATTAAGTGCAAACACTTCGACTTTCATCGAAAAGGCCAACTGCCGGCGCCGCCAGCCAACGCGGCAGTTTCCTGGCAAAACTGTTGCAGTCTATACCCTGTAAATGTTAAATGATTAACATGGTGTAAGCTGTTAAGAGAGCGTTTATGCCAGACACGTGTTATATTGAGAGTATGTTATTTCTGCTCTTATTCTTTTAAAGAATCTGTTTCCGAGAAGTAAATGGTTAGCAAGCTCTGCGTACAGGGCATGTCCTAGTCGAGCAGGTGTCACTAGTCGGTACTGGCATGTTTTATTTTTTAATGCTGCTGTACATTGATGGCGATCAATTCTGTTGGCTGTGATTTAAGTGCGCGTAAATCTCTGCGGTGAAAAGTGGTGCCAGCTCCTTAGCCCTTGCCTTCTGCTCTGCTCCGGCTGGGCGGAGGCGCAGCAGGCACCGACTGCTTGGGGCTGAGACTCCGGTATATGCTGCATCGTTCATGGTCGGTTGCCGTTATTTGCATTTCATTTTTGCGTGCGGCGAGAGAAAATGTAAATTGATTTATTATGCACAAGCGACTGAATGCAGGACTTGGCAGGAGGCGGGCTCTGTACACGCAACGCCCAACGCTCCGCGGCCGACTGCTTGGCTGGCTTCCTGGCCAAAAGAATACAAGAAAAATAAAAGATATATATATGCATAAAAAAAAAAAAAAAAGTGGCAAAAGTAGGTAAATCTTCAATTGAAGCTGCCGCGTGGCAGTTGCATTCTTGGCCAGCCTGCGGGGGCGTAAACATTGCTATTAATATTGATTTAAATGCGCTCACTGGAAGAGCGTTTGAGAGAGAGAGAGAGGGGGGGGGGAGAGGAAAGTGGTTGGGGGAAGGATAAATACTGTGCCCATTACGCTCGCTGCATGCTGCC